GTCGTATTGAGTCTAGAACGAGAGTACCTAGGAAGCTGATCAAATTGACATAAGACCCCATTGAATAATACAAGGATAGAAGGTATTAACATTATGAACATGATGATAGGCTCAGTATCATCACAAAATATATTATGAATAAGCTAAAATTTCAAATTACATTATTTACACGATTTTATAAAGAATCAAACATATATATATATATATATATATATATACATGCAAAAATTATCCAATGCACTTTTATACTATGGATTGCATCAACTAATACTATGTATCAAACAACTGACACACTCCAATCAAATTAAACTATACAATCACCTTAAAGGAGGAGCAGCCCCAACTTTGATATGATAGACTTTTGCGCACTCTCTCATAGATTTGTTAATGTATGTATCATAGCTTCATATAATTATAAAACGTAAGATAAATAACTAAATAGATAAATATAGAGCCTCTATGCTCATACACTTAGAGGCTTTGCTTGTCATTATTCGTAGTCATATCCATAAATTTATCACCAATTTTCAAACTCTTATACTTGATTGTCTAATATCCATCACATGTGCCGTATATACTTTCTGAAGGTATAGATAAATTCCAACTTTTAGTGGATAACAAGAAAAATCAAAGTTCTCTCCACAAGAGGTTTTAACATCCTCGTGCCATACCAAATACAAAATCCCCACTAATATCATGGATAAGTAACCTATGACATCATAACATGCGAGAAGCCAAATAAGCTGCAAACTCCGATATCTCTCAGGATTTGTTAAAAATATAATTCTGAAACCCTTGCTTAACCTACTAATTTCACACACCTTATGGTGTAGCATCTCGGATATGGATAAAGTATGATGACATTTTATCTCAAGAATTTCGTGGAACTAATAGGAGGAGACTTATGCAAAATGTAGTACAGATGGGTACATGAAACACGTAGAACAAACTTGTAGAATATCAAGTGGGACCACTGTGCGCACAATCCTCTCACTATTCATAAGCACTAGGGACAAAAGTGCTTACCGTCATGTCCCCTTTCTACGAATGAGACTTACCTTCTTGAGATCTCTTGCATCTCGGAGTTTCTTTCTGTGCAATTCAACACCATATTCTGCACTATATGAAGATGTCCTATACTTTAAAAGAAATTGGTGCACTAAGTAAAGTGCGAAGGTGGTGAGTACACCGAAGTGGGTATAAGTTCGAGGAAAGACTTGGCTTTCTTGGCTTCGTGATAAACAAAGAGATCAGTTGTGATCAGCAAAATCTTGATCCGTTCCTTAAAGCTGATCTTGAACTTTAAGTCTAGTAACTCCTTTTGAAAAGGTCATCCGTCCATCCACGGTCCCGTCTTCTCTCCGTTTTCTTTTTATAGTAACGTATCTCGATGATTGTTACCCATGTGCTCCATCACGTCAAGCCGGATGAGGAAACTGTATCTGAAAATCGCAACGTCTATTAACCGTAAGAAAACATTCCCTCGTCCTGAATATAGTATCCTCCTCGGCCTCGATTCACTCCGAGTTGACTAAACATGTTTGTTCATAATCATTCCTGTACGAGTACAGCACTGAATCTAAGACTGTATATTATGCAGCGCCGACGCCATAGACTAAATATTCTGATGGCAAAGTAGCTTCGATGGACACCGGGAGCCGAGAAATAATCTCACACTTAGTCTAGGATTGTGCATATGCGCATAATTCATAATTTCAGTTCTAATAACTAAGCAAACAAAGAGGCGAATGACTTTTAAATAAATAAAAAAAACCCTTTAGGTTCTAAACGTATATTTCCAATCAGCAGTAAGCGCTAGTTATTTTCTTGTCTATTTGGTAGAAGACAACAACGAGCCCTCGCATCTATACTGCATATCATGCACCCTTTGCTACGAGCTTTTTCCAGCGGAGAAAAAGTACTATGTCACCATGTCACCTCATCATCTTTTTAAGTAGTGTAATGGTCACTTCGTTTTCGACCTTTTCCGTTTTCATTTGGAAATAAAATTATTTTCTGTTGTGTGTCTGTACCCTTATCGATTAGTGTGTCCATGTTTTTGTCCACGAGCCATTCTACATGGAAGAGGTCCATGGGCTCGCCGCATACGAAGCATCTGTAATACGACGAGAGAACTACCAGTTCTGTCAAAGCATGATTAGCGTTAACTCAACTCTACTATGGATTGTGAGAAGAAAGTCCATGCTCTTGAAGATTTGGAGGAAGCTCTTATGCCCTGTCATTTTAACATAGTTGCTGGCATAGTGTTGCATGCATCCGCGTGCCCGCCGCATCTTGCAATGCATTGAATGCATTGATTGCATCGTCACATGGATCGCATGTGACAGGGGTCACATGGATGGAAAACTGTAGGTTAATATCACGTTAGTTACGACATTCAACAAAAAATTTGATGGCATACAATAATCTCGTGATAAGAAATGAATGACCATACGTATTACATCTCACTTAAGAATTATAAAGTCTACCAATCATTTGAGGCAACATCAAATGATCCTAACAAACATACTGTAATCAAGTCTACGTAGCATGAGAGAAAACACGGAATTTTTTTGCAAAAGTTGCAAGATGCTTCCACAGGTTGACGGTCACTTGCGCAAGCATGCGATTTCTCTGCTGTACTACACCGCCAAACTTACGTTGGAATCACGGGACTCTTCTGTTCCAAAGGAACTATCTTCAGCAGGATACAAACAATTACTGTACGAGAGAATATGAATAGAGGAAACATCTATGGACTATTATGTGTCATACCGACTCTTGGCACCGCCCTCCGTCACGCGGTTTTGGACTCCGGCCACATTAAACCAATGCGACCATTGACGCTAGAGCTGTTGATGATATTCACCTTCTTTGGACGTCTGTAGTGGTCTGGTTTGTATTGGCTGCCAAAGGGTCCTCCAAGCTCGTCATGGTCAAAAGAAATTGTACACTTACAGAGCCCAGACTTTGTCGTGAAGAGATCACACTGTTGCGCTCTTCGTGGGCACGTGTATTGCACTCTGCTCACTCCAGGAACATGCACATCGGTCTCTCGAAAAGTTGAACCGATCCAGTGACATGCTTACTTGAGATAAGGTCCCGGTTATTAAAGCTAAAGAACAGAAAGCGACAGAGCAAGAAAAACAAGTGTTTAAGCATAATGGATTCATCAAATGTGCATCGACACTCGATGAGGATACAAGTTGCAGACGTCGTCCAAATGTCAACAACGGACAATTTGCACCCATTGCAAACTTCTGAGAAGGATTATTAAAACTAAAAGCTTTTGTAATACATAATTCGAATGCCCAACATTAAAATTGAAGGTCCCGATTTTCCAAGGAGCTTCAAAGATGTTGCATGGCGTTGTGTGTGCTTCATAGTTCTCCAAGGTGAGTCTGGGATTAATTGAAATTACAACCGGTAAAAACAAATGTTGAATTCGTTTCGTGAAGAAGATACAGCAGATGTGAGTTTACAAGGCCCTATTTCTGCTTTTCACACCTCGAGACCTGAGGCGCTAATCGGGGAGTTCAGTTTGTTCCATGTCAATAATGAGACCGTTTGTATAGCTTCACCGTTCTTCTGAGAAGGTCCACCATCCTTTATCCATGGAAGCAAGCCCCAAAGTAAGCTATCTTGTCTCTAGGCACGGCGATGTTAGCCTTCGGATGCTACAAGTGGACACGAAAGTTTCTCCCGGCACTGTTATTTTCTTTCTCGAAGAGTATTCAATACGATCCATTGTAGCAGCGAGCTGACAGAATGTTGAGGGTCAAGACTTGAGGCCCACAAATTGATCTGATTATGCCTCATTCGTCGGAAATAGATTCCTGTAAGATTCATAAAAAAATTCAAAGTCACACCAACTAATGCTAACTAAACAGGATGGGAAGACCCCGTGAAGACTTACAGAGATAAATCCAAATTTAAGATTGGGATAACCCCCAACAGCATCACAGTAGGAAACTCGAGCATCGAATAAGCATCACATGACGTGATGTTTGTTTATGTATCATATTAGCTATAACTCTCTATATAAAGGACTGGATTCACAGTTTCACTGATATACATTATACAATATGCTAAAGAGAGTGAAGAATCACGTTAGATGTTACGATATACAATCCTGCACTCTCGCCTGGAGGTATAGTAACATGTCCTCAAAATTCCAAATAACTCTGAATCTATAAAAACAAAGACATCACACTATGCATATTCACACTTGGAGATGTTGCTACTCCGTCGATCAAGGAGTAGGATTGATCATCGCCTTGAAACAAAGTCACCAATAATCTCATGTAACATGTGTAACCACAATATCTGCTATACTAACATGGTCCATTCAAAGGAAGTAAGAATCAATAATAGATATGTGGATGGACTGAAATTGATGCCGATGCTTTCCATGTGAAATGCCCACTCTCTTACCATATCAAGCACCACACGCCTCAATGGAGAAACAGTCATATAGATAGAAAATATATCACATGTCGAAAAGTAGAGAAGTAGAGTGAACGAGAGAGGAGAACGAAAGTTAACGAAGGAGAGGATCAAAAGTGTTGAGTTGGAGTGGAATGCTTGAAAACGGCAATTTGATCCTTCCGACAACCTTCAACGAACCAAGCCCTGTTCAGTGTAGCTGTAAGGTATAACAATCGGAGTTCAGTGCTTCAGCAAAGACTTTGGACATCAGGATTCAAGACCGACGTCACCAATCTCACTGCACGAATGAACGTAAGGTCAGGGATTCAGTCACTTTCGGTTGAAGGCATCGATCCAAGGTTATGTACATGCCCCAAACAAATAGAATTTGCTGAGAATATTAGCAGGCGAGCCGAGAACTGTCAGGTTGATTACTGCTAATATTAGGTTCAACTTATCGTCTTCTGAAGCAAATGGACGCCCACTTCTGAGGAGATCATAATCTCTTTCAGCTGACATGCTCCTCACAGGGCAACTAACCAGCGCAAGGAGGCAAGCAAGCTGTATGGAGCTGGTCTCGGTGGGCCCAAAGCATCAACGTCAGACCTGGTCTACCGACCGCCGATGTGCTGGCACAGGGCCCCAAAATGCCTTCCGGGAAAAGTCCCAGGTAGTTTGTTTGTTGGTCATTCCATGGCTCCTGATGTTGTTGATGTTGAGGATCTCACGTCCTCGAGTACAACTGTGGACGCAGGTTTGCAGATTTGAAGGCTGTCTAACACTCTTCCTTGAAAAGATGGAGTGGGATTGCCGACCGAGAGTCCCACGGGGGGAGGAGGAGCGCTCCGCACGAGAAATTGACCCAAAAAAATTCCTCTCCTCATCTGTGATTTCTAGTGCTTGTAAGGCTCGAGAGATCGAAGGGAGCCGAAATTCCCGAGCTCTCGAAGCCGGCACTCGAGTCACGGGGCTCCGGACTTAGAATCAGTAGGATGGCTTCAACATCGGTGGCTTTGTTGCTGGTGCTTGCAGGACTGGCATTGAACATTGCTGCGGGCCAACTCTGCCGGAACAACTTGACCTCCTTTGTGTTCGAAAGTTTTGATTGCTTGGGTGACCGACATTTGAAGTGCACGGGAGACTGCACTTGCACAGCTGAGGGGCAGGTAAATTTGACCAGTTATGATATGAAAAGCTGGGGCCGACTCATGTACTCGCCAGGAATTCGACTGATGGACCCCGTCAGCAACCGAGTTGCTTCGTTCAGAACCAATTTCACCTTTAATATGGGGGGAGAGTACTCCAGGCCTGGAGAAGGAATGGCCTTCGTGATGCAGGGCAATCCAGATTACCAAGGTCACGGGGGAGGTTTTCTAGGGCTTTATAACAAGGATGGCAAAGCAGGAACCCCCACGCTAGCTATTGAATTTGACACGTACAGGGACTGGTTTTACGGTTTCTTTAGATACAATGACATAAATAGCAATCATGTGGGATTGGATATCGAGTCGATCAACTCCAAGCTTCAGGTGGATGCCGGCGTGTTTGGGATTGACCTGGCCAAGGAGCGGACCGTCACTGCCTGGATTGATTACGTGCCCCCAACCGAGAATTTTGATGGTAATCTTCAGGTCAGAATAAGCGCAGACACCACTCGACCCCTTCTTGCTCTCATCAGCTACGACGTCGATTTGTCGAAACATATATCTGAAATTATGTACATGGGATTTACTGCAACGACGGGTGATTGGTGTCTTTCTTATCACAGCATTCTCAGTTGGAGTTTTGAATCCTGGGGCCTCGTTCCTCCTACACCACCTCCAGCACCCTCCGCTCCTACTCCGAATCTACCTCCCTCTCCTTCGGTTTTGCCTCCTATTCCGTTACCCCCAGAGCCACCATCTCCATCTGCTGAAAATCCACCACCACCACCACCACCGTCGCCAGCTCCTCCAGCTCCTCCAGCTCCCATATCACCATTACCGCCTCCCCCGGAAAGTCCAACTGCACCACCTCCCGTTCCTTCATTGTCACCACCTGCACCGCATCCAGAAATTCCACCATCTCCAGCTCCATCTCCTGCACCATCTCCATCTCCATCTTCTCTTCCGAATTCGACTGTCCCTGTACCATCGCCACCGTCAGCCCCATCACCCTCTGTTTCTCCACCACCTGCAGTTCCTCCTTCATTACCTCCTCATGAAGCTGAGCCTTCCTTGCCCCCAGAGTCCACTCCCACACCATCTGCAGGTCCTTCACCGTCTAGCCATGAGTTTCCTCCAGCTCCAGCTTCCATTCCCACACCTTCTGCTGCTCCTTCCCCTTCGAGCTATATACCTCCTCCAGCTTCCTTACCTCCAGTTCCCACACCATCTTCAGCTCCATCTCCAGGCAGCCATGTATATCCTCCAGCTCCTCAGCCTTCTGCTCCAGCTTCTTCCCCAACCCCGTCGGGTTATTCACCATCGCCGTCCCCGGATTTTCCATCCCTCCCACCCGCACCGAGTTCACATTCAGCCCCCATCCCATCACCTGGAGAATCACCACTCGAACCACCTTCGAGCGCATCTCCCCCTGCAACGTTCCCTCCTTCTGAACTTCCTCCAATGTATCCACCAGCGGGTCCACCTTCTAGCCCACCCTCAGTGACTCCAGGTCTCAGTCCCAGTTTGACACCCAGCCCGGACTCCAACATGCCACCAACTTCAGAACCACCATCTCCCACATCCCTTCCGGCTCCAGCACCAACTCCAGAACAGGGACGAGCAGATGCTACGAGGTCCATGATGGTATCTGTAGGAGCGTTTGCTCTGCTTGTGGCCGGTTATGTGACCATGATATGGAGGAAAGTACAAAGGTACGGCTGAGCGCACCTGGCCGTAAATAATTTGGCATTCTCAGACTCTCCTCAACTCTGTCGATCATTAACCTATTCCAGTTCGTGATGAATGCATTCTTTTGCCTATCATGAGGAAATTGCTGTCAAGTAGCCCTCATACGTAATAACCTCTGCATTGTGCCACACTGCTGAAGCTCACAATGCTGGAAAGCTGTAAACTTGTGAGTATTGCTCATACGGGATCAAGAGTCAAAGTCAGGGAGTCAAGATTCATTTGTACTTGTTGCACAAATGCACGTAAGCAGATCGTTTTCTGTGCAATATCAGTTCACAGCCTATTAAGTTTAAAGGTGGACACAACAAACCTCTAATATAAGCATGTGCATGAGTTTTGTTAAAGGATCGAGGACGCATGTATTTACGCGACTTGCATGTGTTGTTGACAGAGAAGTCCGAGATGCTCATTCTGGTCATGGCGAAGACGGATACCTCCTGATCCAAAGCGTGGGAGGGTTATGGCCTTTCTCCAGGTAACGACTCTGTGTACTCAGCCTTTGACATTGCCAAGAGCTAAGAGCTTTGGTCAAGAACCGGCCCTGTATCAAGAACGAGAACGTAGTCAAGGTATCACACATATCTCAAGACCATACGGAGTACCTAAACTGGCCAAGCTTATACGTCTCATACTCTGTTGCATACTCAGTCGGTCAAACACCAGTGGGATCTCTTTCTCAGCAGGTTCCCTAAACTTGCTAACGTCTCTTTCATCATTAAGGTCCTGGGGCCAAGATAGTGTGAATTATCTGATCAGTCATCATATTCAGAAACCTCATCTGGTTCCGAGTCCGTGTTGTACAAATTTCACAGCCAGTATACAAGTGACCACTAAGATGCTGGTTGCTTTCGAAGTCAGGCTTTCATGTAGAGGACAGATTTGGAGTGTTCCTTACAGTAACGTATAACTCTATCAATATTAGTGATTCTCTAGCCTTATAAGTTCCAGTGAGCAACCCTGCAGACTTTATCATCTCAAAGCATGGATTAGAGCGTTTTAGTGTACATAAAACAGTCAATCCTACAATTGATAGGTAGAAATAGGTAGAAAGTCGTAGAACTTGTAGACTGTAAAGTAGAGTAATTTTTTTGAAGTGAGGTTGAGGAAATTAGCAGTCCTTAATCACTACCGAGCCCTATTTGTACTATAACGTAATGATTCGCTGGTCAAAACAAAACCCTGTACAAACCAACAGACCATGCACAAAGTTGTACTGTATTACGGCTCCTCAGGTTGTAAAGTTCTGAGTAGATTAGAGTGCCGGACTGAGATCTTGGCACTGTTACAGAGAACTGAGAAATTTAAAGGACTGAGAAACTAAAAGATTCAAAAGGTTTGTAGAAGCGCAGATTAGGTTTTGCGAACTGGAAACTGCGTACTACAGATTGAGGGAATATCAACCACACTGTCAGCTAGACGCAAGGTATCAGCTTGTGTGACCAATAAAGCGATTATGGATATTTGATGGAATGGAATGATTGCTCTGCAGTCTTCCACTTTGTCAAGACGTGTGGAATTTTTCCTAGCCGATGTGTGGTCTTTGGTCTATGTACTTGATGTTATCTATAGCACATCATGGTAGTCAATTCGTCAGCGCATTTTGCACAAACTTTCCCCCTCCATGTCGTTTGCCCTGCATCTTATGTCAATGATACAAAAAGCAGACATTTTATGGCGTACAGTTTTCCCAAAACCTCCAAGTTTTGGAGGCAGGTGAGGACTTGAAAGCATCGGTGTTGTACCTTTAAGCGAATTTGAAAGAATCTTTCAAACGTATGGAACTCGGAAAGCAGAGCGCAAAGTAGATGCAGTTGTCACGTTTTAAAACGCACAATAAATGAATGAATATTCTACCAGATGATGCACATGATCTACGAGACTATTTCTCAGATACCTTTGGCTAGCCAGGTACTATCTTTGCTGTCATGTGATGAAACCTTAAAGCTTCGGCCTGAAACTATTGTAACGAAGGATCGGAAACAACTAATCGGCAGCAATTCTCGCTCTGTAGGCGAAAGTCACCTCAAGAGTCTGTAAGATAGGTTGTAGATCTAGTTCTGTGAATGACTGTATATCACTTTCCTGTCTGGTGTATAACTGCAGAACAATTCTCGGTTTTCTCAATTAATTTCGAGAATGTGTAGTATTCACATTGGTCTTCACACCACGTACTTCGATCAAGCACGCAGAGAGTTTCTACAACCGGATCTATTGATCTCCTGTAAATCGTCACCCGGGTTGAAAAGTGTGCACATTATTCCAACTTTTAAGTAGAACTCAACGATATCCTGAGTCCTTGCTGATTCGTATTCAACACGACGACGAGAGGTTAAGAGTCCAACCTGATGGAACTGAGATTTGCGTCCTTTTTCTTCAATTCAGACTAGAAAATGGACAGCAAGAGATACTTTTACTGTTAATCTTGCGTTTCATTGTTAAACAAGTGTTACGGCAGATGTTGACCTTTCAGAAGCGTATTATGATCAGTCGAAGACCCATTCTATGTAGGTGGCACCTTGCGGCCCAGAGCTCGACCGATCGAATTCAAAGCGTAAGGTACAACCTAGATCGCTCAGAAGCACAGTAAAACCAACCTTTACTTCTAGTGAAATATGATGAAGTGTATTTAGGCTTGTGTTGGGTAGTGGTGGAGAGGGAAGTTCCTTGCAAAGTCTCATGCCTCGCATTGGCTCTCCAGAAAGACGAATTCAACCAGCACGATTATCCGGACGCGAGACTTCTTCCGCGGGTGGACCCCGTATTCTGTTTGGTCCCGTCAGCTTCATGCTTAACAGAAGCAGTTGAGTGGCTGATCGAATGATGAAAACTGTGGACTTATAAAACGACCGTGACCCGCTTTTTGGGATTCGTAAAGTGCTCTATCAACATATTTGTTGGTACCGCAATGACCATTGCCTGACTTTTTCCAGCATGTGCAGAGCTGGACAGCACCTTCAATCATTGCACACTTATTCTGATTGATCCATGTCAAACTTGTCCCGTTCCCCAGTTCCTCCGCAACGAGTATTGTGCTGGACTGCGTCAAGCACCGGATCAGGGAACATATGCCATTCTCCAAGATCGCGGTCGATGCTCAACACATGTCAACCGAGAACTGAATATTGCAAGCCACACGATGTACTTTCAATGACTCAATCCAAGCTTCAGCCTTCCATAATCAAATATGAGGAAGATATTTCGAACATTTTACCTCCACGTAAATTAGGACAGATTAATTTACAGCATAGCCTTATTGCGTTAAGCCTGGCAAAATTTGCTAGCACCTACTTATACATAGTACATGTGCTTCCACAGCCGGCTGATTATTGCCAGTATTACCTGAAAGCCATTTCGAGTTCCGATCAGATTCTTTTCCCCGCCTCCAGCAGTTGGAATCCCAAAGTCCTTGAAGCTCATGAATCTGTAAGCTGAACTCATCAAGAACTGGCCTCTGCTAAAAATGTATGTACACACCGAACACCCATTGAATAAAAGTGTCGAATAAGTGTCGAAGATCTCAGATCCAAAGGCAGCCGGCTGGAAAAGATACTCAATCACGTTCCGTCTGCTAAAAATTCTGCACCACTATCAGTCAATAATATAGTATTGGCTATGGACTCTTTTCAAAAAGTGTTCATGTTTCGCTTCTGAAGCTCAACCGAAGACATCTGATTTCTGTTCCGGGCCTTGAAATATTCTGCATATTTTTGCCAGGTGTGCTTCGGCCACAGAACCTTGGATCTACCGAACGTACACCACGCACCATTCACTTCAAAAAATTTAATCGATGGCCAGTAAATTCTCTTGTCAGCCCTCGATGTTCTGGGCCAGTCTATGTCAATATTGGCTACCAACGAAGCGTTCCTGTCATAAGCTCTAACGAGTGCCAGGGCGCTCAATTTCGTGTTCACGCAGCCAGATGCGTAGCACTGATCCAGACCCGGAAGATGCCCGGCTTCCAGCAACGATGCCAGCTCTATCAATCCTTTCTCGCCTACAGAAGTGCCGCTGAAATCAAGATACCACAAGTCGTTCAGATTTTTGGATCTGAACGCAGCTGAAAGTGCTGTCAATTCTTCGTCCCTCAGGAGTATGTTGTCTTTGAGGTCTAATCTGGTCAGAGACCCGAAGGGCCGCGACTGCAGAGCGCTCGCCAAGGTCTTCGCTGCCTCTAATCCTAAATGGCAGTGCCTGAGCTCCAGCTTTTTGAAGGCCCTGCGGATCGAGCTCGACTCCAGAGCCTTGAGAATGGCGAGCACGCCTTCCTCTTCCCCGAATCCCCGCAAATGCAGATCTGTCAATCGAGGCAAGTGTCCTGACGCGAAGACTTCGGCCAGAGCCTTAGCCCCGGAGGTGAGAAAAAGCTCATAATCGCCACCCAATCGCAATTTCTTCAGGGCTTTCAGCTGCCCGGATCCCAGAGCGCCGGCGAGCGCCGTCAATCCAGCGTCCCCGATGCCATTGTCCACTAGATCGAGGCGGCGGAGGACATTCAGGTGTCCAGACTTGAGCGCCTCCGCCAGAGCTTTGGCGCCGAGGTCTCCGATGAAGGAATTGTCGAGCAGATTGAGCCAATCGAGATTGGACAGGTTGCCGGCGCCGATGGCTTTGGTGAGCTCTGCCATGGCACCGCTCTCCTCGGCCAGCGAGCAGTCGGCCAGGCACAGAGTATTGACCCGCGGGAATGGGCGCTGCTGCAGCACTCGCCCCAGAGCTGAAATGCGATTGTTGTCGTCGTCGCGGTGGCTGCCGCCCGGCCCATTGGCGCCCGTGACCACGACGGACTTCTCGAGCTCCAGCTCCTCCAGCAGGCGCACCTCCAGCTGCTCGTCCGCCTCGAAATCCCACGTCAAAGTCCGCGAGATCCTGCCAAACCTCTTGGTGCAGCCCGAGTCCTGCCTGAACCTCGACGTCCCGTTCTCGCCCATGCTGTTCGTGTGTGTCAGAGTGTCCGCGTGCACATGCCTCCTTCCCATCGTCGACCCCGCCGTCGTCGCCATGCTACCGCACCTCCTCCAACGCGCCCTCGAGAAATGCGCCCTCCATCAATCAATCGATCGATCTGTAAATTCAGCCAATCAGTCTACAATCAGTGGCTCCATCCCGCGAGTGATGCTTGAACCGGAAGACAAAATCAGCACTCGCTTCTTATCCTCTCCTCTCCTCTCTCTCTCCCCTTCCCCTTCGCATTCACTGAATTCTCTCCCTCTCTCCTTTCCCTCCCCCCTCCCCCTCCACTCCCTCTCGCTGACTCCCGTCCGTGCCTAGCATCTGAAAAGCCGCCAATTCCGTGCTTATGAAATGACACCACGGGCAAATCATCATCACCGTCATCATCATGATCGCCACCATCGCCGTGGTTCTACATCTTCAGTAAATTGAGCTAAACCCAGACGCCGTCCACTGATTCCAACAGTGAATTCCGCTACTGCAGGCAAGAGCTGAGGAAGATCGTTCTCGGATCTGCCTCTGCCTCGGCCTCGGCCTCACCTTTCGACGGTTATAGCGAAATGAAACGAGTGCATGGACGACCTCCAAATTCAAGCGCCGGCGCGGTCGCTTCCATGGCCAGAATCGCCAGATGCAAGCCTATGACGGGTCCGTACCAGGTCCGTCTCTAAAATACAGCCCATTCCCAGCCCCACCCCAAACTCGAGCTCAAGCCCGAGCCCATGTCCGGGATCGCGAATTTCATGGACAGACTCGGAGAGAGGAAGAGCTAGAGCCAGAGCTAGAGAGGCCTTTGCGGGGTCCGAGGACTGTGGGCATGGTACCAGGAACCTGCCAATGGTCTACATTCTCCGCCCGTCCACTGGGTATGGCAAGTGGTCGCAGCCGGGGCCAAGTGAGGGCAAATTCAGAGTAGCAGCAGCAGCAGGACGACGGCCACGACTATGGCTCCATTGCTAGTCATAGCTATAGCTCTGATACGCTCGCGGCGGTGACTCGGTCTACTGCAGATAGTGCGTAAAGCCGGCGCTCTCCTCGCCTCTTGCATCGCCCCGGCCTCAGCCGATTTGGACTCAGCTGTCTTTGGAGCATGTATTTCCACGGATTGGATTAACATTTTGTGCCTCGTGGTGGAGCCAGTCACCACATCAGTCTCAGCCCCGACGGTCGGTCACGCGGTCTCGAGTTTTCTCTCTGATCGTCAACTGCGTGTGATCGGAACCGAATCGTCATGTATTAAGAATTTAATTCGGCCTTGACTTGCTCAACTCGAAGAGCGAAGCGTGTCGCTGGTTTAATCGGCTCTGGAGTAGCAAATGGATGACTTCAAGCTGATAATGAAAACGCGTCGATAGTTTATCGCATGCTAGAACTTGGGAGCTGGAACTCGTTCTGGTATCCTCCTCTACTGCAATTCTAATTTTGCCCTCGCGCTTCCGGAAGAGTGAGAGAGGGTACAGGGGCGCACATCGCTCGGTCGTGCTCATGTAGCGAAGTGCGGACACAAGTGATCGCGGTGTGCGCACTGTAGGTGAACTGTGCCCGATGTCCAAGCAGAGCAGTGCCGGAGAGAGTTCTGCTGCGAGCAGAGTTCGCAGATCGAGGTCGTGTGCTAGATGTCTCCCGCCACACTCTGTCGGTTGTGCACATTCTTGCAGACAAGAGGCGGACAAATTTATGCACGTAAACTTGCTGCCCCAGACGTGACCCTTTAACATTGATGTCCGAAACAATCAATTCGGCTCGCAAGAATGAATTCCAATATAACGCTGTACCCTGTGCCGTGCCGGAAATGTAAGCCATTCACGTCCATGTACAATCTGACTCCGGAATGTCTCAAGGGCCTCGTAATTAATCGGCTCAGTATGGTCGATAGGAGGTGTATGGACTTCAGAGCTCTGACATTTATCGTTCGTTAAACAAAACCTTTGGAAGTTGGAATTAATAGAAAGTGGCTTCTGTGACCGTCCATGTCTTTCTCGGAGTAGCGCACGGTGACGCTTTCTACGTTTGAAATGGGCAACGAAGAGAAGCCTGAAGGTAGTAACTGCGTGCACTGAAGACTATTCCCTTCCGCATTGTGGAAGTAAGCGCCGACTTCGTGTCTAACAGTACACAAACAGTCGCCCTCACTTCATTTACAAGCCATTACCATGCCGGAAGAGATTTTTGGTTCCTGTTTCGCGATGATCTTTCTAGCGTTGAGTTCACACCATGACGAAATCTAGGTCCTGGAGATGTGGACCTATCGAAAGAGAACTACGATAGCTGTGCAGAGATGATGTTTGAAGAAACGCTTAATACATGACAGGCAATATGGGTTAGGGAAAGGCTTCTCAAGAACATGCTCTAATTTTCGGCAGCCTCGAACTTTCCACGAGGAATTAGGGAGGATCGCTTGCATTGTTTTCTTTCCTCTATCTCCATATACTCGTAGACCTCAAAGTCGTTGCTAAGGCGTCCAGGAGGAGAGTTGAGTAGATGAAACATAAAACGGTCATAAGTGACGACAGCAATACAATGCAACACAAGCTTCGAGGACGCAGGCTGTTGAAAATGTTTATGGTACGGTAGACCTGAAGTCCTTGGCTCATTCGAGTTGACTGTGGCTAAGTTATCAAGGTTCTATCTTGTTATTCTAAGACCGAGTCTTGCAGGTGGCAAGTGGCAAGTGGCGCCAGATTAGCTGCATCAGCAGATCAGAGGAATAGTGGAGTTGATCGGGTTGATAAAAAGCTACTGGCTGTAATCAACATCCGAAGTGCTAAGAATGTTTCAACGACGGTTTCAAATCGTATCCAGACGGTTTTCGAGGATTAAATATTAATTTTTGAATTGATCCAGAGTCATGAACCTAAATAGAAGAAGGTCAAGACTTGGAAGGAACAGAGCACTGTGCCGAGGTTGCCCGTGAGTGTTCGCTGCCGGGAGCAGAGGAAGCGAGTTCATGCCAGCGAGTAGCGATCGTGAAGACAATTAATGCCTTGACTTATGGGCAAGTACACTTCTCCTCCGGGTTTCCACCGTATAATGTGGCGGAGATTCTGCAGAGACCTTGGCGAGATCGCAAGCTGCAAGCTGCAACTAGCAACAGCACCACCTTTGCACACTCCACGCAATGCCAGATTACGCAATTCTGTACAAGGGGATTCACTTTCGAGAGACTCGTGGGTTTATACAACTCTTGTTTATTACGATGGAGCACACTAGACAGGCGTCTGTAGGATCGAGTTATTTCTCGATCGACTGCATCTGCCTCTATGCACATATTTACAAATCGTAATGATCCTCTCCTCCCCTCTAATTCAAGCGAAGCAGGACAACAAGTTTAAGATTCGGGCATCATGTTTCGGCTCACCAGCCTGAAGTAGGAAACCGCGTTCATGCTGCTGCAACGTCGACGTTTGTGACCACTCAGTCACAAGAGTTTCTCCAGGCAATGCAACTAAAACTCTAACGCCCTCTATTAATTATCTAAACTACTATCTACCTGAAGCTTCCTCCTTGATAACACATCGATACACACTCGGGTCCTTCATGCGAGATGGAGCTGTTCCTCATCTCATGCTGCGCGTCCATGACCTTGGACCCCAGCAGAAGCGACCGCCCAGCGTCGGTGTGAAAGAGAAGAAAATTGATTCAGTGCCAGAGCTGTCTGTTGCCACCTGCATGCACGCCGGCCACCATTTGCACCACCGATGTGACAGACATGCATGCCAGCAACGACTTCCCCGCGGCCAATGAACCTGCCAGCTCTTTGGCACCAGTATTACTCGATCAGAGCTAAACAAGAAACTTTAATCATCCCGTCGGACAGAAGCAGCCTCTGCCGGGTGCTTCCTCTAGTATATCGGATTCTGTCATTCGTATAGACTTGAGCTCAGACAGCATGGGAGCTTGAGCACTGGCCACCGCTCACTGTACAGAGTCATCCCATGGTGCCTGCTTACCAGAGCCGTCCTGGCACAAGCCTGGTAGAGAAAGAAAAATGAATCGTCGCTCTCATCATCGTACTGTAACTGTTACGTAGCAATCGTAAATCTCACTGATTTTGCTGGAAGGCTTTCGTTCCAGCCTCTTCACGAGACGAGCCTGGACTTCCTTGTCAGTCTCCGCCGTCCAGGTCTCCAAAATCTTTTCGAGCTTAGCAAGGCCTCTAGGAACAAAAATCTGCTGAAAACTCCTATACGCTACCACGTGAATGTCGAACTCATCCTCGTTGATGGTGTCCATGTGAGATTGCGACTGAGAGTTGTTCAGGCCTGTAGCCATTCCTCGGATGAGCGTCACCAAACTCCGAACTAGTTCACGATTCAGATGCTAGCAATAAGCCGGTAATAAGTAGGGTGTGGGGTTCAGAGAGAAGAATGTACTGGGAGGACTCAGAAGTAGGGAGTAGAATTCAAGAGCTCTAAGAGAATAGGATGAGGGATATACAGAGAGAGCAAGAGAAGTCTACAATTCTGTTGAATGACAATGGGCCTTGGAACATCTGCTGATATACCTCACCGGTGCTGCTGCTGAGTGAGTACAGAGAATGGATCTCCCGGATGCGATTCTCACTCGTGCAAAGAGTGACGCGAAGATTACAGATGGATAGGCTCTGTGGACAGGCTGGTTTCGCTCATGCTACTGTGCAGCTGCAGGATAGTGATAGGGATAATTCCAGCGAGGACGATGTTGAAGTCGGTGCTCTATTGACGTGTCCACTCTGGTTGGCTCTTTGTTGGCTGGAATCAAATTCATGTTTCTTTACTGCCGTATCTACCTGAGTGGGCGTTGGGCTCTTCATTGTGCAATGTGAAACACATTGCATCGAGGACAGCTAGTTCTGCCCTCCACCTCTGCACTCTTGGCCCATATTCAAGGGCTTCCATTAGAATCATGTATGGGAAATAAGTTCTCGAATGGTCAGGTGAGCCATCAATGTAACAATGTGACAAGGATCTGGTAACGCTCGCACCCTGAGAATCCGACTTGCCGCAGGATATTGTGCCGAGCAGGACATGCTTTGTTCCCCTGATGAGGCTTTTTCTGCTAGTTTCGGAATCGTGAGCTTTGGCTTCCAACATGCTATCATGGCTATATTGACATCTCAAAACGCGTCTTCGTTGGGATTTATTGCAACAGGACAGACCTGCGAGATGGAATACCGTTTTCAAAAAAATATTCTTCTGTTTAAAAGGACAAGATTAGAAGTGTTTTTCAACAGTCTCAGGGAATTACAGCAGGGTAGATTCCTTCAAATAATAACGAAAGGATTCTCATCAACATGTGAAAAGCTTTCTACATTATATCTTCATAGTTTAGGACGAATTGTAAAGTATGTTGAAAAGCTCGTTCGATGAGGTTTCGTTTCGTTCTAAAAACGGACACTTCAGCTGATCATGTCATCTGTCTGACAGTACATATCTACGCGGAGAGGCGATTGTAAAACTAATGAATTGCTGTGAAGTGTTTCTGAATTACCTCAATACATCCAGGAAAATGATTAAATGGTACGTCAGGCTTGGAGATTGTATAAGCCCTTCGAGGTACTTTAAGCTTCGATATTGTTCAAAAAAGCATGATAACTAAGAAACCCGAATTTTTCCATATATGTCGGTACTCATAGTTCAGTTTCTATTCACGAGATGTTTTATGCAGAGGAATGAACCAACGAATACGTGTACACGTCCTATACAGAAAAGATGGGCAATCCCTCTAACGTGCAAAATGAGGATGGTGATCTGAATAAGCAATCATTGTCGTGTCGACAAATGTCAGCTGGCCACAATAAATAATCCGATTCCGAAGAACTGGAAGCAACCGAGAGGCGCATGAAGACTGAGTCACTGTTTAGGTCAACCTGAGATGCAACAAGTGAGTTTTCTCGAAGGAATGAAGATGATTCCAGATTCTATGTCTCTGAGTGACTTCTATGCAACTATCATCATATATGGAGGCGTTACTCTAACGTAACTTGGAGATTTCCCAACGATGTAACTGTCAGTGGTTGAAGAATCGCTTAAACTGAGCTCGAACTTACTTCGAGTTGTTGCTACTCCTTTCTGTGCTAATGGCATCGTATCACAGATGAACCTGTCAAACACATGTTGCTACTTTGGAACAGCCCTCAGTAACATCATGAACTGGAGGAATTCTGCAATTCAGAAATGAAGCCTCTTCATTTCAAATCCGATGAATAAAACGTCGAGCATACCGTGGTTGAATATTATGCTCCTTACAGAAAATCTTCAAGTTATTCTCTCTCTCACATCCAGTACAGTATCAGAAGCCACGACGAAAGTTGAGTCCTATTTCGTCATTCGTTCAACGGTAATTCGCAGTGGACAGATACCTGTAATATTGTCTAAATCGTCCCGACAACAACGATGAATTATTTCTTCTCACTCCAAATTAACTTCCAACTTCTTCATTTGGAGTATCTACAACTGCAATAGTTCCAATGCAGAGTAACAAAAATCCAACCAACATAGCTAACTGTTCTTAAACAGCGCTAACACTATCAAGTCGAACAATGGGACGTCATTTGGACGCTTTGCCGTGGGCAGTTCACATGTTCGACATGTAATTAGAAATTGCTAGCATTGATGGCAATCATGTTTTATACATCCGATTCTATATAGATCCAAAGGGCAATCGATGGAGACCAATCAGTTTACGTGATTCTTCTTCAGAAGATCGTGTAGTATTCAGAATGTTTGAGCTGGATATGTCAATGTAGTATGACATCTAAACGACTTTTGCCAGAATACTTTACTTCCATAGTTTTATTTCCCGCGTATAGAGAAGATGTGTGCTGCATCCAAGCAGGAGGACTGAGCATGAACATAGATTCTTCTGAAAGTTGAAATTTGTATGAAATTGCCAATCTTTTAAACATGTGATAGACAGGGGTATCCTGGACAAGTAGATATAAAACATGGAAAGATCTTAAAGAGACTCACAAGAAGAAACGAAATATCAAACGAGGGTCTAGGGCAGACTTCATTGAAAGTGACATTTTATTATAAAATGACACCTTTTCCACAATTAAAATTGGGCTGATGCCACAATTAAGCTTTTTTCTGTAGTTATTCTTTGGTTGCAATTGAGCTTTTCGGCGAATTTTTTTTAGAGTGGGCAAGGACTGACTAAAATTTACGAAGTGAGCAGTTGACAACGGAAGAATATTATTATCCCAACCAAGCAAGCATTAGATCGCATTGCCGGCAGTAAGTGACTGGAAAGAGAATCCCTGTATTTTTGTTTTTGAGTAGATTGTGGACAAAAATCGAAGCAACTCATGATCACCTGATGGATGTAAGAAAAGAGTATTACATACACATATTCTAAAACTTTAATGCCAGAATATTCTGGTCATGAAAACAAGTTTTTCTCCAATCCTAGTATTGAAGACAAGTGATTGTACTCATCTTCAGCTGAGGTTTTGAGGAGGAATACAATTCAAGTCTCTTGGATTTTGGAATTTGTCACTATTCAGTTGAGTTTCATATCTTTATTATTAGGATCAAGAACCTTGAACTCATTTCTTCTTAGAGTACTAGCTCTTTCTGCTTTGAGTATACTCATGGTGAATAATCATGCGTCGTGTTCATGGACTCTTCTAAATTCTCGTTAGCTTTCGATGGTTTTGGGGTCCCTTAAATATAACATGAGGACGGAACCTTACTTAGCCACAACGGAGAAACAACCCTGCCTGACTTGTGAAATAAGCTCAATCTATTTGGTTTCAGCATTGTCAAATAAGTTTTTCAATACAAAAGCCACTTTTAAGATATTTTGGGTGCCACAATTAACGAAAAGGTGGCACAAGTGGCAAATGCCACTTTTAATGAAGTCTGGTCTAGGGCCCAAACATGTGATCATCGATTGCATATTCATTTGGTTATTTTCCGTTTTTTTTTGTTCTCAAGGAAAATCGGAATTATGGTGGTTGGATAGAATTTATGATCTTGTCTATATGCTAATATTTCACATGATGAATTTTAAAAAATATCGCTATGTTTATAAACAAATAATTGTATTTTTTGCAATTGACATATACATATGAGTTATATATATTATTTTTATTGATATTATTATAATTCAAAAATATATAAATAATAGAAATATTTAAGAAATTTATAAAATTAATGAATCTCTGCTTTTACTTTATAATTGATTGATCTTGATCAATCATACCATTAATCTTGTCTATGTATCAACCGGTTCTTTGAGGTTACTAGATATATTCTGACGTTAATTTTATTTTGATGATTTATAAAAAGAATATGGATGTTGAAAATTAGACATTTGTAATTTCTTTATCAGGAATTTTTTTTCCAAGGCTTCTAAAAGATAAGAGTGCAGCTAAAATTTTAACCTGATAAACAGTTCGGTTTAATTTGAAGTAAGAGCTTAAGCAAAAAATAATTTCAAAACTGAGTAGGTGATATTTCAAAATGAAATATATGATGTTGTAAAACTAATATAATACCCTTCAATGAGATTAAAGTGTCGAATAATTTTTGTATGAGGTATATGTACTGCAATTAACTAGGTTTTCAACTAAGTAGATTTCTTCTTTCATAGAAAAATATATGGGATACATGTATGTATGTGAAAATCTATCTCTGTTCTTAGGAGTTGATCCAAGTTGTTTTTATTTTTTGTTAGTTGAAATAAGATTAGCTGCTATATAAGAAAGCTAGTAGTAGGTTTCAATCACCCATAATTTTGAATATTCAGTGACATATTTGAATTTTGTGTGCACGTAGGCTTTGTAAAGATAAACCACAACTATCTTACACCATCGTATATGCGCGGGAGATCTCCGATTTAATTTACAATGAATATTAGGGTTGACGATCATCTCATATTACCATCAAATATTTCTTTGTTTAAAAAATCCTATTATGGTTAGTTATTAGCGCGCGTGGATTTATAGCTTTTAATGAATTGAAACAATCAAGTTCAAAACATAATGAACGAGCGTGTAGGTGTTTGACAACGACTTAATGGTAACGGATGGGTTTAGCTGCACAAACTTATACATAGCCCCTATATAGGGCCTTCGTAGACCCAAGCAGGTGTCATCCTGCAGTTAGCCGTCTCAGAAGTTCTTCTTTTCGCTATGAGTCTACTCTTTTGGACCCAAGATGGAAGAATGTGCCGGCAGGCTAACCGGACAGCTTCCTGATTGGCTGAGGATGAAACTGAGTTTTTCCGGTGGAGCATCAAAGTCGTTGAACTAGATCGCTCCGCTTTCCGGCGGAGCAATCTAGCGATGGACTATAAAAACATATGGGCATACATCCGCACTCAACTACGAGGGAATCCCTATTCTCACAACCTGGTCGACGTCATACTGACCACCATAGTTCCTCACAGTGAAATTGTTCAACCGATGCTTGAAACTGTATTGGCCACCTTGAAAATATTTCCCAGCAGATGTAGTGACATCCCATTGCATGG